AGGCTCCAGCGCCCCCCGCGACCCTGAAAAAGGATAAGCGGAAGCGAATGGATGGATGGATGTAGAGGTAGGAATTGCAATTAATATGAATCTCAAAGTATTCCCAACATTCCTGAACAGAAATAGGCCTCTGCACCTGGGGTGAGGGTGTGGCCATGAAAACAATGTGACATGTCATTGGATGTTGGGACACATAATAACATGACGCTAAGCATCGGCCAATGAATGTGAACTAACAACCACAAGGTCGCGGGTATGGCTGCGCTGTAGGAAAATCCTAATATGAAGGTATTTTACTGCATTTTACAGTTTTGTTCTGTTCTTCTAGAATATCATTAAAGTTACGTAAATAGACTGATTTCACATTTCAAATGTAAATTAACGTTAAATCACTGCAATGTAATAAAACATAATTGTCATGATTGTTAAATGTCTGTACATATGCATATTTAGATACAGATTCACAAATGTATCATGATCTCACAAATATCTGTCCGTTATTTGAAAGATTGAACTGTTGAATTCAAATGTAATGCTATGGAAAACTATATAACATGATCCCTATAAGCTTGTGTTACATCACATAAGTATTATAATCATTGCTGTTTAGGCCGTTTGTGGCTCAAGAGTTGGCACTTCGCCTTGTGATCAAAAGGTTGCCGGTTCGAGCCCCGGCTCGGACGCTCTCAGCATTGTGTCCGTGGTTAATAACACCTACTGGTGATGGCCAGAGGGGCCAATGGTGTGATATGGCAGCCTCGCCTCTGTCGGTCTGTCCCAGGGCATGCAATCCATTATTATTTACGTTAACTGTATATTTCTGTACATTTACGTATTATGGTTCATATTGCCACATTCAGTGACCTTGTTTACAGGTAATTTCATTGTTTGATCACGTTAAAATGTTCCTAATTTAATGTCTAAAAGCACTTGGAAAAGGCAGAATCCCATGTCAAATTAGCACAACAAACTGTATTGTCATTGCTGGGAAATAACCGTATTTTTATGAGGAAGTTATTTTCTGATATTTTACGGTAGTATTTTGGCGCCCCAGCTGCTGGAATATTACCGGTTTTTTAAGATGTTTTTTAACAGTGTATAACTGCTATTCAACTCAACATTCGGCAAGTGGAATACGTCATCTTCTTCTCCTGCAGTCAGGATCGTGTAACAACACGAGAGGCTAACTTCATGCCAGTTGTAGGAGTTGCCATCAAGGGTGGGATTTATCAAAAATATGCTCCGTTCCCCCTGCTGTTCTTCTTAGGCCAGATCACTAACAGGACTGGCTGCAGATGGGGTGATGGAGCAGCTGTAGCTCAGAGGTAGAGCAGGTCATCTACCAATCATAAGGTTTGATGGTTTGATCCTGGCTGCTCCAGTCAGCATGCCAAATATCCTTGGGCACAATACCAAAGTTGCTCTCCGGTGCTTTCGACTTGAGTATGAACATGTGTGAAAGCTAGACAGAAGAAATGAAAACTGCCTCTATGAGCGGGTAAATGAGGCATGTGCACTGTGAGTGCTCCTGGAGAGTCCTTTGAAGGTAGCTCGTCTCATGTGTTACGTTCAGCTTTGCATCCTGTGTTGTGTTAATTAGTCCCACACCGTGAAAAAAATACTAAAAACAGTAATATTCCAGCAGCTGGGGCACCAAAATAATGCCAGAAAATAACAGAAAATAACTTTCCCATGAAAACACAGTTATTTTCAGCAATGACAATACAGTTTGTTGCCCTAATTTTACATGGGATTCTGCCTTTTTCAAGTGGCTGTTAAACATTAAATTAGGAACATTTAACGTGATTAAACAATGAAATTACCTATAAACATGGTCAGTGAATGCGGCAATATGAATAATAATACTTAAAGGTACAGAAATATGCAGTTAACAGTTGGTTTAAATAATAATGGATTGAATTCATAAAGCACTTTATGAGACCCTCAAAGTGCTTTATAATTCGCCTCTGGCCATCACCTGTAGGTGGAAGGTGAAGTGTCTTGCCCAAGGACACAACGACCGAGAGTGTCCGAGCCAGGCTCGAACCGGCAACCTTTTGATTACAAAGTGAACTGCCACTCTTGAGCCACAATCGCTCTAAATATCAATAATAATTATATTATTAATGTAAAAAAAGTTTATATGAATCATTTTATATATTTTTCCATAGCATTACATTTGAATTTAACAGTTCAATCTTTCAAATAACGGACAGATATTTGTGAAATTATGACACATTTGTGAATTATTTTAACAATCTAAATATGCTCATGTACAGACAGATACGTTTAAAAAACAAGGAAATTATGTTTTATTACATTTACAGTGATTTTACGTTAATTTACATTTGAAATGTAAAATCAGTCTGTTTATGTGAATTTAATGATGTTCTAGAAGAACAGTACAAAACTGTAAAATACACTGTAAAATACTTTTATATTACAGGTTTTTTACAGTGCAGTTGTGTTCCTTCCTTGTGTATGTAAGCCCTTTGTATCGTTCCCTCCAGTGTTGCGTTCTCCCTCCACACTGTGTGTCCCCCAGCCTGCCTGTTTAGTTTATTTCGTATTAGTAGTTATGCCGGTTTTCCAGGTGTTCAACAATAAGCCATTTCTTTGAGTTACCTGTTGCCTGCTGGAGGCTGTATTTTGGTCCTCCGTTCCTGCCAGACACACACAGCCCATGACACTGTATGCCATAAGTGAACAACACATTGAATCACAGATTTACACAACTGTGATGTTTGCTTAGGGGGGGTATTAAAGGGCTTAATGAGTAGACTTTTAGCTCTGGGGTGCCAGCCAGGTTTCTCTCCTGGGATATGACATTGACTAAATTAAATTAATTACATTAAATAATTACAATACAAACCACATAATGCAGGATGTTTGCCTGGACCACAGCAGTCAGTTCGACCTGCTTCCTTTCTGATGTTCCCATCCTTTGAGTCCTGTGAGCAGAACTCTAACTGGCTGGCTCCAGGCAGGGTGTGGGTGGCTGTAGCTCAGGAGGTAGAGCAGGTCACCCTCAACCGGGCCTCAAACCGGGCTCAAACCGGCCTCAAACCGGGCCTCAAACCGGCCAACGCTCTGAGCTTTTCACAGACTGTCTCTTGTATTTCTCCTGGTCTCCGACAGCCTTCCAACATTATCCAGCTCTCCTTTCTCTCTCATATCCTCTATCAACACACAAGCCTTATTCCAGGCTCAAGAGCTTTCTCCTGAACTCTGTCCACTCTCAGCCTTATCGCGAGCTCTCTTCTCTCTCCTGACCTTTGCCAGCCTTTATTGCAGGTGTCTGCCTATATTCTGTGCCTTTGGTAATGCTGCATTAGTGTGGTTTATACTCTATAGAGACGCTGTCCCTTTCCTGTCATGGTAAGATTGCTCTTATTCTTTTTTCCCCATCACCGCTGAGATTCTGTTCTGCTATAGTGGGTCATCAGAGTCTAATTGCCAAATAGCTTACTTTCATTGCTCTAGTCCAATCATTGTCCTGCTTACCTTCTCAAAGCTAATCAGCCTCCTTCTGCTACGAGTGGCATTGAGTTTTTACCCAGGCAGTAACGGGAACACTAAACAGTCAAAGCACATGTGGACGTCACTGCTTCAGGTTCATTCTTTGTCCATACACGTGGATGAATGCTTGGTCTTCACATGCACACACATGCACATGCCTATAAACATACAGCCAGATACAGGCACAAAGCTAAAACACTTGGAGCATCTCTTTCTCATCAGTGCATCACTTTCTTTTTCACTATTTTAAGAAGTGCAAATTGGACAAAGGAAGAGGAAACGATGGAGGGAGCAGACACATTTGTTTTGTGAGTACAGGGTCAAAGCTAACGTTGCACCCATAAATTTTGTATGTATGCATGTGGAAGGCAAGGCAACAATGGCTCTTTATATGGCTGCTAAAAAAAATGTTACTCCCTACTGAAGAAAACAGAGACTTTCTAAATAAAATCAGCGAGAGGGAGAAGTACAGACTGGTCCAGGATTCAAGGGTCAAAATAACCAATCAAAGTTGTGTCGCTGCTGAGAGGAAACAAAGTGACTTTGGGATGTTCTTAAACACTTTGAAATGCCAAATGTGTTTCAAAGTGTCTGAAAACTAAACGGACTTTAACAAAGAAGCTGATGTGCTGCACAGACTCTCAGTCTGCCTAAAGAAAGCAGAACATGAGCGAACGGTTGACAGTTAAGTGATTTCAGGAAGCTTTACATTCAGAAGACCAGCATGTGTTCATGGCGAGCATGCTTCAGCCTTACTGTGGTGTACTAGCGAGAGCTGAGATAAGTGACACTAACAGACTGAATGAAGTGATTAGGAAGGCTGCTCTGTGATTGGCTGCAAACTGGACACTTTTGAAGCTGCGGTGAAGAGGAGGTCACTGAACAAAGTGTTGTGTATTACAGACGACCTGGACTAACCTCTGCAGCACTGACAGACAGGCAGTGAAGCACTTTCTCTAGCAGAACGATTGTGCTCCACTCTCACAACGACACCACATACATGGGATAAACTATTTCTTATCCTAGCTTAATTAAGTCTTTAGACAAATAATAATAATAATTATGTTGTTGTTCTTTTTTTTATTTTGTTTGTTTCTAAAATGAATTCTGCAGAGTGTTGTTGCTTTCATCCATCCGTTTTCTTCACCGTCTTCAGTTCGAGGTTATGAGTAGGGCCTGTCCCAGCTGCTGTAAGGTGAGAGGCAGGGTAACCCAGGATGGGGCGCCGGTCTATTGTAGCTACGTATAGATTGCTATTTTTCCTCCCACAGTGTTTTTCTGTTATTCTAGCTACCTTTTGATTTTCGGGGGACTCGTTCAGGATGTAGAGATAAAACATTCTGTTTAAGGACGTCGCAGCACACTGGGAAAGCCTGATGAGGCGTCACACAGTTGGGTTACACTGTGATAATGCTGAGAGGCTACAGGTCAAGTGTGGAACAAAGACAGGTGAAGTAAGACGGCTGAAAAAGACAGTTTACCTTGTTTCCAGAGGTACATTGCTACCAAGCACCCAGCTGTCTTGCAGCGGGACGCTCTCGGGGGGCGTGGTCTGCAGCTCTGCTGGTGATTGGCCGGCCACAGGGCCGGGCTTCCAGTAGGAGGGGTTAGCTGCCTTGTGGAGTTCAGGGATTGGCCAGTGTGATGTGTGGCGCTCAGGGCTTGACTAAGAGCTGTTACTGAGGGTTGTTGGCGATGAGGCGGTGGTACCGGAGGAAGGCTGGAGTTGTGATGATTGGACGGTTGCTCTGTCAACAACAGAAGAGAGAACAACTCATCTTTACACACGTGTAAATCAGTGGCACTAACATTGTTGTCTTTTTAGCTGACTGGAAGTTTCCTTTCCCCGAGGACTGCTGTCGTTATAATCCCTGTAAATCAAACGGATACATTTAGATCATATTTCACGTCACAGTCACCAACAGTCTCTCATCCGAAGAAATCCGTCCTTAACGAGAGAAAATAATGTTAGCCACAGCCCGTTTTTAAGCAAACAAAGCAAGAACTGGCAAAAAAGCCAGCGCTTCTTAACCTAAGACAGTCGGTCCGTCTGAAGAAGGTCAGAATTCAAAATGTGATGTTATTATTATACAATGTCTGGATGATTGATATAAAGGCAAATTTCCCAGATGATGCGGTTAAGGTTGATGAAGTTATAATGTCGATTTTTTTAATATCACTGGATGTGAGTGCAGCGTCAGTGAGAAGTGTAACTGAACACTCGGCTAGAATGAATACAGCTCAGTGACTGGCCTTCACAAAGCTCTGCTCCGATTCTGTAAAAATATTTGCTCAAAGCTGACCCGGGTTCAACTTTTCCTCACTGTTTTTGTCCCTTTGCTTTTCAACTCCCCTTTCCGTCCTCAGGGTACCGAGAAGGAAATGAATGGCAGTCTTGGAATTTGATTTGCATAAAGAGCATCAGATCTCCATTTCCCAGCCCTGCTGTTATTCTTTCTCTGCTGCACTCAGCGAGGAAAACAGAAAGCAAAGAGAGAAGCGAGGGATACGTGCAGGAGCAGCTCTTCCTCTCGCTGCTTCGTGTTCTGTTTGCCATCATAATAACTGTTCCAGTTATGCAGACTTTACAGGCTGAACGCTGAAAACCACATATGAAAAGTCTGAGTTTCATTATGACTATTTAGGCCTCAAGACTATTATTTGTAATTAATGCACCTCCTACAAACCCATACATTTAAAGACAATGTGCAAATATTACTGTGTGTGTGATGGGCGGGGCTAGTTTCCAGTTCTGCACACAAAAACTGTCTCGGCTTTTGTGTGACACGATCAATAGACTGTTTAATGTGTTTAATGGCAGATTCTGGGATTTGCTTTTGCCAATCATTTCTTTGTACAACTCCAAATTCATGTCTAACACATCATATTCATAATAACAATAATCACTTTTGTGTAACATGTAACACAAAGACAAAAAACCAGCATCATTACTCAAAACGCATTAAACTCAATATTAATCAGTGCGTCTAAAAGACTCCACATAAATCACCAAGCAGGCCTGTGTTTCACCACCAAGTCAGCAACATCCAATCAGAATACTGCACATCTCAGTCAGTACTCCCACTTTTTAGTTAAATATTGTCACAGCTGAAAATAACATTTTGGCGCGTGAGGCCAGTTTAGACCCTGTGATGAGACGCTCGTGCACTTTCACTGTAGCACCCCTAAAGAACTCATTAGTGGGCAATAACAAAATAAAGTAGCATCAGCAATACCAACGTGTTTTAGTATTATTCTCTGACATTGTCGTCTAATTATATAATAGCCCAGCGTTTCTGTTGGAGAGGGTACAGGTTAACAAAAACAGGTTTAAGCGCCCAGTGCACACGTACAAGTAAAGAAGATCAAAATGCTATTCCACAACACAAGGTTTTGCTCATTGTGTGCAAAGTGTTAGCTAATGTAATGAAATGTAACCAACGGCCAGCAGCAGTCTATGTTGTCTATAGTTGCTAGTGCTGTCAGCGTTAATCTGGTTAAAATGACGTTAATGCCATAACCGCATTAACGCAGCAAATCTCCGTTAGCGAGTTAACGCGGATCACCCCGTGCGAGGCTGCAACACGTTAGTGCGGTTAGCTCGTTAGCGCGTTAGTGCCGTGCAGTTGTAAACCCTGTTTATGTTTACCTTTGGTTTTATTTAACTTTCACCTTTTTGTTTTACATTTCTGTTCCCATCATTTAACACTGTCCTTGTTGTTTTGTGTTGTAATGTGACCTTGCACGTTTTGAAAGGTGCCAAGTAATAAAATGTATTATTATTAGTATGTTGTGAAAGGTAATCCATACCCTGCTCTTATGATAACTTCAGTTTTTTTATGTTGTTTTTTTAGTTGAATATCACATGTCTGTGTGTGACTTCAGTGCAGGAGGACAGAGAGCTGATAGTGAGTCAGGTGGGAAAACATCAACTGTTGACTCAGGTATGACAATTAAAGTGTGCACCAGGTTGAACTGGGGTTTGCAAAAGGGAAAACAGTATGTTTGCAAGTAGCATATTCCAATGATCTGCTAAACACTGTGTGCAAGACACTGTGACTGGAACACAGTTCACACAGTCCAGACAGACTAACCAAGGATACGATATCTGCACTTCCTACTCCCACTCCACGAGCTGATTTCTCAGCACTTCTAATCGGGTACATACTAAATACAGCACTGTGCACCACTCCATCACAATGACTTCACATTAAACCACCACAATGTCCTGTGTTTGTGTGAATGTTTGCTGTTTTTGCTGCTGTGTTCATAGGAAACTGTAGCTGTCTCCATTTTACATGCATCTCTCTGAGCTAGAGGCTCGCGGCTTTTTTGTGGTGGTTTGCGCATGTGCAGAAACCTTTCATCCTTTATGATAAGATGATTTCAGACCAGTGTGCATGTCAAGCTGACCCTGGCTCTGCTTTCACTGCTTTGATCAGTTATGGCCTGTACTGTGTGTAGCATTACCCAGTAAACAGGCTTCAGTAATTTAACATCATAACAGGCGAGTTTCCTCCCAACTTTCATGAACTTTCATGTGAGATGTAGAGAAGATGAGTTTGTGAAAAAGTTGTTCACTGCTCTAGTCTATTAGGAAGTAAGTGAAGTTTATTTATATCGTGTCTTTTACAGATACAACATTCATAAAGTGCTGAACAACAATTCAGACATGATATCAACAAAGAACCAAACAAAAAAACAAACACATACATAACAAAAGAATAACAAGGCCTGATTAAAACAGAAAAGTTGTTAATTTTTTGTTTTTTAAAGAGTCCACAGAGTTACGCGGCGCTGGAGCGGTAAACTGTCCCAGAGCTAGAGACTACAGACTGAAACACTCGGTCCCCTCGAGTCTGGACTCTTGTCTGAACAGCTAATAGGTTTTGAGTTTGTGAGTGGATACAGCGAGCAGCAGTGTGTTTAACAAGAAGTTGAGACAAATAGTCTGCAGCGCGTCCCTTTAATGCTCTGTATGCAAGTGTGAAATCTTAAAACGAGTTCTAAAATCAATGGAGAGCTAAAGTAAAAACAAGAGTAACACAGCGAGCTGTGTCTGGGTGCAGCAGTTTGTGCTGCTTGGAGGAATAACAGAGGTGATTTCTTTAAGCCAGTAAAAAGGGCAATACAATAATCTAAACAAAATGATACAAACACAAGAACAATTTTGTCCATTTCAGAGGAGGAGACTACGGATCGCAATTTGGTAATGTTCCTGAAATGAAATGTGAGATCGAGTTTATATGTGAAAGTTCAATAAGGACTCAAACATTACGCTGCGATTGCGAACACTAGTCAGCAAGAAGAAGCAATCAGTTGACTTGTGTGCATATCAGGAGGAGCAATAACCGTGGCTTCAGTCTCAGAGTTTAAAACAATTGTTGGAGAGCTGGTCACTAATCCCACATACAGAGTCAGCCAGGGCAGACAGCCTGTGCAGCTGGCGAGGCCTAAAAGACAAGTAGAACTGAATGTCATACATAAAAATACTAAGAAATGCACCTAACACCTAAAAACAGAATAACAATCGACCCAGGATGGACCCTGAGGAACCCCACAGCAGTGTCTGCTCACCCTAACAAGGATGTCCTCCTAGATGAACTGGAGGGAAACCAGTTAAGTGATCCCAGCCATAACCTTATTCTGGTCAACAGTATCAAAGGCACTGAGGTCAAGCAACATGAGCACAGAGCATCAATTTCCTGCATCAGATGCCATTAAAAGATCATTATAGAGCTTTAAAGGAGCAGTTTCAGTGGAGTGCTGCTTTTAAAAAGCAAAGGACAGAAATTTGTAGTGTGCGTAATAAAGTTGTCCAAATTGATTTTCGGCAACTTTTTCTGATAATTTGCTAATGAATGGTAACTTTGAATTAGGCTGGTAATTGCAAGCAAAGCTGCTATAATGGAATTACCTCAGCGGAGCACAACGTTGCCTCAGCGAGCAGTTGGTGATGGAGAACAGTAAAGGACCAATGCTTGTGAGACATCCAAACAGGAAGGAAGGAGGTCAGATCTCTAAATGGGTGATGAAGGTTTCATCTTAACGATTACAATAAGTCATTCAGTGTATCTGGAATGACTTACGATCAACCTGATCCATAACAGAAAGACGATATTACGCAGGGACTAAACTGGACCGAGTGCAAAGTCCTCACATTGTAATAAAACAAGGAAGACTGGAAATTCTTAGTCACAGTACCAGTATTGGAATAATTGTGATTTTGACCTGAAAAGAAACTGTCACGAACACACGGCAGACCCGTCCACACATTCATGCTTTTCAGCATCTTTATTCTTACTCTCTGGTTGCTGTTTACAGCCGGGGTGGTCAACTCCAGTCCTCGAGAGCTACCGTTTGATTCAGCTGTGTTGGAGCGCATCTAAAAGCTGCAGGACAGTAGCTCTCGAGGCCTGGAGTTGGACACCCCTGGTTTACACTGTCATGACTGCAGCTTTGCAGTTCGCAGCCACTCATATACACCAACAACAACATTATTCAGGACCCAGCACAGACATTAAGCTGGCGAGGCATGGCTGCAGATGCCATGTAGGTGCATCCGCCTCCCCTGCAGCAGCATCGCAGACCACACCCCGCCACAGGAACCAACACATTTCAACTTTTGGGTATCGACAGGAATTACCCATCTTACGTATCATCTCAATACTGACTTCAGGACAAGGATATGTAACAGTACTTTCCATAAGAGCAACAGTCCAACATTACTTCACTTCTTTAGTACAAA